CCAGCCGCCAAGAGACTGCGCCAGTCATGGTTTCCAGGAGGAGGAGGAGGAGGAGGAGGAGGAGGAGGAGGAAAAGGAGGAGGAGGAGGCCCCAAAAGATGGGGAGAGCGTCGACTTCCTGTAGGAAAATCCTCCTCCTGCCGGCCCCAGCTCCCTCCCTTGCCCCCGCCCCTCCCTGCATGGAATACCCCCCGCCCGCCGTGGGTGAAAGTCGCATGATCGATGGGGGGTTCTCGCGGGGGCTCACTGGGGGCGTCGTCATTTTCCCCCAGTCGACCCCACACCGCGTTGCGCTCTCACTACCTTGCTTGCCCTTCCAGTCGTCGACGTCAGCGTTTATGACCTCGCGAGGACCGCCTAGCTGATACGGCTGCGTCGCCAACGAGACAGCAAGTGCGCATGTTGACACAGTACTGAATGCGATGCAGTCCGCATTCCCCTCACCGTCGCCCCCATGCTCCCTCCCTCCCCATAGGACGAAAAAGGGGATGATGGTGATGATGACGAGGATGATAGCGGTGATGATGATGCTGATGATGATGTTGATGATGATGATGATGATGATGATGATGCTGATGATGATGGTGATGATGGTGATGACGACGACGATGACGATGACGATGACGATGCTGATGATGCTGATGATGTTGATGATGATAATGACGATGATGGTGAGGATTATGATGATACTGATTATGAAGGTAATGATGCTGCTGATGATGCAGATGGAGGTGCTCCTGATGATGATGATGATGATGATGATGATGATGATGATGAATGTGGTGATGCTTCTGATGATGATGATGATGATGATGATAATGAGGATGCTGATGCTGATGCGGATTCGGATGCTGATGCTGCTGGTGCTGATGAACACGATGATGATGATTATGATGACTATGACAATGTTGATGTTGATGTTGATGATGGTGGTAATGATGATGATTATCGTGATGGTGGTGATGGTGCTGATGCTGATTAGGATCATGATGATGAGGATGATGATGATGATGATGAAGATGATCATGATGATGATGATGATGATGATGAAGATGATGATGCTGATGATGATGATGATGATGATGATGATGATGGTCATGATGATGATGATGATGATGATGACGACGGTGCTGACGATGTTGATGACGATGATGATGATGATGATGATGATGATGATGATGATGATGATGATGATGATGATGATGATGATGATGATGATGATGATGATGATGTCGCTGCTGATGAGGATGCTGCTGCTGAGGATGATGACGATGATGCTGATGCTGATGAGGATGAATATGATGCTGCTGCTGATGATGCTGCTGCTGCTGATGTTGTTGTTGATGATGATGCTGAGTATGATGATTCTGATGATATTGAAGTTTCTGTATTGCTTTGAGGAGGTGGGGGAGAGGCAGAACGCTTTCATTCCATAGCCTTCGGCTCTCGAGCTGGAGCCGCGGCGGGGCCGCGGTGCATGGCTTGGTTCGGCCTCCTTGGGAACATCCTGAGCCTGGTGGACTGCTTGTGGGCGCCCGCGCTGCAGGCCTGGATCTCGCGCTGCCCCGCCACCAACGTCCCTGCCTGGCCCGCGGGCCCGGCCTGCCCGCCGTGCCCAGGGTCGGTGGGGGCGACCGCGGGGACCGTGTCCTTGGCCTGCGCGGGCGTGGCGCTGGCGGGAGTCTCCATCGGGGCGCTGCGCGTCCTCGTCCTGCTGCGCGTCCTCGGGTGTGCTCCGCTTCACCGCTGACGCGAAACCCTCGCCTCCCGCCGCCACGGCCGCCGCTCCCTCGAGTCGTGCTGCTCATCTCGCTCCCACTGGTGCTGCAGATGGCAGAGGCGTGGGCATGGGCCCTGTACAACGAGGGCGGCGCGCCGCTCTTCCACCGGAGGAGGGCGGCGGGTCAACTCGCACTCACGGATGACGTGGCGATCTTGACCCCAGACGACATGGTGTGCGCGGGGCGGCTCCTCGCGGCAGGCCCCGACATCGCAGCGGTCCGCTTCTCAGCGGCGCGCAGGCCCCCACCGCCGGGCATCGCGCTGGAGGCGACCTACCGCTTCGGGCGGGCGCCCTCGGCGGCTCGCGAGGCTGCGTGGCTGGCGGCCGCCACCGCCGAGGCCGATGCGGAGTTCGCTGGACGGCATCCTGGCGTGGCGGCCCCAGCGGGAGGCACGCTCGTCCACATTAGCGGTGGGCTTCTCCCTGCGGCTGGGCTGGCGGCGGGCGCTGCTGGGCCGCTGGTCGCGGGCCCCGCGGGCGGTGCCGCCCTCCCGGCGGCGGGGGCCGTGGTCGCTGCTGGACCCCCCCCGTCCGGGGCCCGCGCGGCGGCCATCGTGGCCCCTGCCGCCGCATTGGTCGCCCCCCCCCCCCCCCCCGTGGCCGCGGCCGCCGCCGCGCCCATCGCCGCTGGGCCCTCCCCGCCGTCGGCGCTCCGCTGGGCCCGGCCTGGAAGGACGACGGCGGGCCCCCCCTCGGCCTTTGCCGGCGAGGCTCTGCAGGGCTGGGCCTGGGTGGTCGCAGAGGACGTCGGCACCTTCAGCTTCGGAACCGTCGTGCAGGCGGCCCCCATGTCTGGCGTCGTTCCGTCGGCGCACTGCGGACGCCGAGTGGTGGTCATCCTGGCGGGGGGCATCGGCGGCATGTCGTTCCTCCTCGAGGAATGGCGTCGCGCCGACTTCGTCAACCGCTGGCGGGGCTCGGGCGCCAGGATGCTGGCGAGGATGCCTGGGCCCACGGCGCCGCGCAGTTGGCTCTCAGCCATGGAGGTCGCCAAGGAGATCGCTGACCCAGGCTTTACCTTCGTGCTCCGCCGGTCCACCGCCTGGTGTGTGTCCTGGCTGTTCGTGAGGGTGGACCAGTCCAGCATCATGAGGCGCGGAAGTCTCGCCAGCGTCGCACCTCCGACTTCGGCGTTCTCGAGGACAGTCTCCGCGAGGTGCTCGAGGATCTTGCCACCGCTGATGGAGTGAGCGTCTTGAACTCAGTCGGGGCCGAACGGCTCGTGCGTAAGTTACAGGACATCGAACACTTCTGAGATGACAGGCGGCGCGAGCAGGACTCTAGCCAGCGGAAGCTTCCGATGGAGGAGCTCGCCGCTTTCGTGGGCGGGGCAGGCGCGGCCAGCCAGCCAGGCAGCATGATGTGTCCTGTTCTCTTCGACGTGGTCGGCATGGGGCTCGAGCGGGTCGGCCGCCTCGAGGAGAGCGCCCGCAAGTTGCGGGGGGAAGAGAAGGCCGCCTGCAGGGCCAAGGCTGGGGGCCCAAAGTCATGGCGGGTTCAGTCCCAGAGGGGCCTGCTGGCCCGGCCTCTCGGGGCGCCGCGACGTCGGGGCCCGCCTCGACGTTCTCCTGCGGCGACGAGGATTTGGATGGCAGGCTCGGCGGCGCGGGCGCGGAACGGCCGCGGGACATCCGTCCGCCGCCGGCGCCGGCAGCTGCCGACTCTGGTGGTGGGCTGGCCAGGGGCGGGCGCCCCCATGGCATGCGCCGGCGCGCGCGCCGCGCGGCGTCGACGCCTCGGCCCGTCAGGCAGGTGGTAGAGTCTCTCAGCGGCCCCAGCGTCTCGTGAGGCGGCGCGGGCGGCTTGCCTGGCGCGAGTACGGCGCGGCGGCGGTGCCTTGGTCGGATCGCGGACTCCGTCTTGCGGCTGGGCCCCTCGCTGGGCGACCTCCAGTCTTTGCCGGCCCCCTGGGAGCTCCGGGCTACTCTGCCCTGCGACGGCTCGCTGTCGACCGGGGCGGAGGCGATCGACGTTCTCCAGCTCTCGCTACCCCCGACTGGCAACGCGCCCGCGCGGCTGGGCCGCTCGCTGGGGCCCGAGGATTTCCTCCGCGTCTTGCGCGACGAGCGAGGTCTAGCCAGAGACGCAAGCTTCTCAGTTGAAGCGGCATGGTGGCCTCGAGCAGCCTCGCGTGGGCCAGGCCATGCGCGACCTCTGGCGCTGCGCGGCTTCGTTGGCGAAGCTGCCCGACGCCGGGGTCATCGACCTGGTGCCCTTCTCGGGGTGATCGACGGGGTCGGCCTCTTCAGCGCTCCCAAGAAGAGTGGGGCGCAGCGCCTCGTCGTGGGCTCCGGGCACTCGGAATTTTGGCTCGGCGCGCTTGCGGGCGTCCACTTGGCCGCAGGTGCCGCGCTGGCGGCGGTGGAGTTCCCTGGCGGCGCCGACCCGTGGGCGGTCTCGGCGGACGTCGCGGACGCCTCCCTCGACGTGGAGCTGCCGCTGGCCTGGCGGCCGCGCGCCGCCCTGCCGCCCATTGACGAGTGGCGGCTGGGGCGCTCCGCGGGCGCGGCGTCGGCCGGGGCTCGGACTGTCTGGTCCAGGCTCGCGGTTGGGCCCGCGGATTGGGCCCGCGCGCTCGCCTCGTGGCCGAGTCGGCCGCGGCCCAGGGCGGGGCCGGCGCCGGCCGAGAGCTAGGGTCGTGGGCCGCCAGATCTGCCCAAACCTTCTGGTTGGGAGCCGCTTCGAGTACGTCGACGAGATCGCCGCCCTCTCGCCGGGCGCCGCCTCCGCGCAGCAATCCGAAGGGGCGACGCAGGCAAGCAGCTGCGGTCGAGTGGTCTCCCCCGTCCGCGAGGAGCTGGCGGCCCTCCAGGCGGCGCAGCTGCTCGGCCGCGGGATCGATTCCGGCGGCGGGGCCGCGGCCCCGGTGCCTCGCCAGGCTCCACGGCTGACCTTGGCCGCCCGGGCGCTGTTCGCGACGCCGAAGGTCTCGGCCCAGCAGGTGGGGCAGGTCGTCGGGCGCGGCGCCTTCCTCTTCATGGCGGGGCGCCCGCTCCTGTCTGTCTTCTCGGCCGTCTACAGGTTCGTCGCGCAGGTCAACGAGGCGCCGCGGGCGTGGTGGCCCGGTGTCGGCCGTGAGCTGACGCGGGCCATGGGAGTTGCGCCGCTAGCGTTAGATCGGGGGCGCGTGGACCAAATGTTCGAGCGAAATCTTCACCGACATGAGATATCTCTGGGGAACCTCATCAGGCTCCACGAGCTGCAGCGGAATCCCCAGGCCGTTCCGCGCGCGCGAGAATCCCCGGCGACGTCTCCGGGTTTCCGTAACGCGTGGTCAGGATTGAAGAGATTGCGTTGGGATGTAGGACATTTCAGTATGCTATCAGGGAAAATCTGTTCCGGGAGATTTCCGGGATATCTCCTGGGGGCAAGTTTTTCCTGGGGCATTTTCACGGGGGTCTCCCGGGATGTCCCGGGATGTTCGCAGGGCAAGTTCTCCCATAGTATGTTTTCGCATCTCTTTCCGAGGGGCGAGATTTCCTGGGAGATTTCCAAGGGGATTCCCGATGGGCAGGATTTCCTAAGATTGTCTGGCAGGCCTCCGAGGGGCAGAATTTCCTCTTAGATTTTCATAGATTTCCGAGGGGCACGATTCTCCAGGAGATTTCAATGGAAATTCCTTTCTGCACTTCCGCGGGGGCAATATTTGCCGGGGGATTGTCCGCGGGGTTTCCGATCGAGGGCAAGATTTCCTGGGAGATTTCTGCGGTCTCCGAGGGGCACTGGTTCCCGGGAGATTTCCACGGATGTTTCCGATGGGCAGGATGTCCTGGAGATCTTCCAGGAGTTTTCCGAGTGGCTGGATTTTGCGGGAGATTGTCGCGGGGGCTTCCGAGGGGCAAGATTGTCCGGGAGATGCCCGTGGGGATTTCTGAAGGGCAGGATTTCCCGAGGTTTCCGAGGGGCGGCAACTTCGGGATTTCCGGGATGCGCCAGGATTGATTAGAACGCTGGGCATGTAGGACGTCCCAGTGGAATTCGGGAGATTTCTTAGGACGTTTGCCTGGGAATTTCCGAGGGGGTAGGCAGGATTTTCCGGGATGCTTCCGCTGATATTTCCGCGGGGCAGGATTTCCCGGGGGGGGTCCGCGGCCATGTCCGAGGGGCGAGACCTCTTCGGCGATCTTCTGGGATTTTTCCGAGGGGCCAGATTTTCTGGCAGGATCCCATATTTTCCCGAGAGGCAAGATTTCCCGGGCGATTTCCACGGAGATGCCCCAGGAGGTTTTCGCGGAGTTCCGGGGGGCAGCATTTCTTTGGATATTCCCGTTGAGATTTCTTATCCCTGGCGGTTTCCATGGGGGCTTCCGAGGGGCGAGATTTCCTGGGAGATTTCTCTTCGGAGTTTCCGCGATAGTTCCGAGGGGGGAGATTATCCGGGAGATGCCCGCGGAGATTTCCGAGGGGGCAAGATTGCCCGAGAGATTATCAGGGATATTTTTAGGGGGGCGTCCAGTGGGGGGAGTTGTTGCGCGACGTGTCCATCGCGTGGATTTTTCCCGGGGGATCTCCCCAGGAGATTTCCGAGGGGCGAGATCTGGTTTGAGACATTCTTGGGTTCTGTGGGGTGCGCACGATCGAGATTCTGGTTGTTCGGGCATGTAGTCCAGGGGCGCCCCCGATCCCCAGACCCCCGACGTCGTGCATTTTTCATGACGTCGACCCCCAGCTGTCTGGACCCATTCCCCGGGACCGGTTTTGCATCCTGCGTCGTTTTTTGGCGGTCCCGAGGCCCGGTGAGGGCCCCCGGAGGCCGAAAATAGGGAAAAACCTCCCGTCGTGATTTTTCATAACTCGAGGGGGTCTGGGTCTAGCGCGCGCCGACCTCCGGTCCCCGCGCCTCGGGCGCCTCTGGGTGGGGCTGCGGAGCGGGCGCGCCTTCGGCGAAGATGCCGCCCCTGGGCTCGGCCGCGCCCAGGGGCGCCAGCGTCTCCGGGGCCCGCCCGCGCAGTGCCCGAGGGGGCGGATCGCCCCGGCGTCGAGGCCAGTCGTGGGCAGCGTCGACGTCGAGCCGTCAAAATCCAGCCCCACCAACAGTCCCAGACCCCCTCGAGTAATGAAAAAATCACGACGGAAGGTTTTCCTTCATTTTCGGCCTCCGGGGGCCCTCACCGGGCCTCGGGAGCGTCAGAAAACGATTCAGGGTGCAAAGCCGGTCCAGGGGAAAGGGTCCAGACCTCTGGGGGTCGACGTAAAGAAAAAACATTACGTCGGGGGTCTGGGGTCAGCCTGTTTATTTTCTGAGATCTACGAATCGACGAACGGAGAGCAGCAGCAGCATGCCATTATCTCCAAAAAATCCACGGGCAGCAGCGCCGTTGCGAGCTCGTCATCGGGCGTGGCGAGCGGCCGAGCCAGGGGGAAAACAGCTTTCAGACTTGCGGATCTGGAGCTCGTGTCAGGGGGCGGGTCGTCGTGTCCAGCGGGGCCTGGGAACGGGCGGGGCGCGTCGCCGCGCTGGAGGGGGGGCGCTCGTGCGGGCTCCAAGACGCGTGTTCCGTGATCGTAGACGGCGTGATCATCGCGTCGTCTTCCTCCGGGACAGCCGCGTTGCCGTCTTGGCTCGAGACGGGCCGGCCCTCGAGGCCGGGGTGGCCCAGATCTGTCGCCAGCGGGCCGCTCTCGCGGTGGCCGGCGGCGCGGCGGCGGCCCCGCGGCGGGCCCCGTCCGAGGCGGACCCGGCCGGGCTGCCGTCGCGGCGGGCGCTCCCCATCGGCGCGCGGCCCCAGTGGAAATGCAGCCGCCAGTCAGGCCGCCGCGCAGGCCGCGGCGGCGGCCCGGCCAGGCGGAGGGGGGGTCGCCGACGCGAACGCGACGGCGGGCCCGCCCTTCCGGGCCCTTGCGCCGCTCCCGGCCGCGCGCGCCGACGCGGGGCGACGGCGGGGGGGGGGCGGCGCCCCGGCGGGCCGCGCGAGCCGCGGGCCAGGCGGCCGAGGCAGCAGCTCTGCGGGCCTCGGGGGCCCCGTGCTGAGGGCGCCCATCGGCGACGGAAGCCGCGCGGGCCAAGTGCCTCGGCTGTCGAGGGAGTTCCTGGTCTGGACGGCGGCCTCGCCCATGGCGCCCCAGTCGGAGACGGCCGACGCCCTCTGGTCCCAGTGGGTGGACCAGCAGAGGAAGAAGAGGAGGAGGAGGAGGAGGAGGAGGAGGAGGAGGAGGAGGAGGAGGAGGAGGAGGAGGAGGAGGAGGAGGAGAGGAGGAGGAGGAGGAGGAGGAGGAGGAAGGGAGGAGGTGGAGAGGGGGGAGGAGAGGAGGAAGGAGAGGAGGAGGAAGAGGAGGAGAGAGGAGAGGAGGAGGAGGAGGAGGGGAGGAGAGGAGGGGGGGGGGGGGGGAGGGGGGGGGGGACAAGCTAGGTGCGCTCGCGTCATATCTGACATCCTACCCCTCCCTCCCATCCTTTAACATGGCGCAGATCCCCTCTTTACTCGCACAGTCGGATGTCGAGCAGGGCAATGATCCCGAAAGGGTACGCGATGCATTGTAGAGCACGGCGTGGCATGACGTAGAAGAGCACCGCGAAGCGTAGTATCAACCTAGCATTGAATTGCATGCCGTGGCATGGCACGGGAAATGACGCAAGCGCTGCAACGGGAACACGGGTCGAAACTAGCGGAAGCGCGGAAATGAGGCCAGCGCTGCAGCGGGAGCACGATTCGGAACGAGCGGAAGCACGGAAACGATGCCAGCGCTGCAGCGGGAACACGGTTCGGAACGAGCGGGGCACGAAAATGAGGCCGGCGCCTCAGCGAGAGCAGCATTTTGGAAAAATGCAGGCGGAAACCAAACTCCGGGGAAGTGTAAAAAACAGTTCGCGGGGGGGGGGGGGGTCGATCACTTTCAAACCGTCATCATGGGGAAGAGGGATAGTAGTATTCATATTGAGTAATTGTGGAGAAGGGAGGATGAGGAGGAGGAGAAGGAGGAGGAGAGGAGGAGGAGGAGAGAGGAGGAGGAGGAGGAGGAGGAAGAAGAGGAGGAGGAGGAGGAGGAGGAGGAGGAGGTGGAGGATGCCTTCGTCAGGAGTGCACCTCGGGCTGGCGCCCTACCGCGCCCGCTGGCGTCCGCGATCGCTTGTGGATCGAAGGGTGTTCCGAGGGCGCAGGGCGTGCTGGGCGACCCATTCGTTGCGCCCGGGGGGGCGCGGCTTCTGCGTTGGCGGCGTGGGCGAGGAGTTCGCGGCGCCAGGGGGCTAGCGCGCGCGCGAGGCGACCTGTTGGGGGGCTCTGGCAGGCGACAGGCCAGGTCATGGGCGCGACTGCGGGTGACTCCGCGGGCCAGAAGGCGCTTCGGGTCTTCGCGGGCGACGGCGGCCAGATCAGCCGCCGGGGGCTCGAGGGGCGTGGGTCGAGTGGGCCGAATCGGCGATGGCCTGCCGAAAGTGAGAGTTGAACCAGAGAGGCCCTTTCATCTATGCGCTGTTGCAGGGCTCGGCGCTGGAGATAGTTGATCGCCCGATGGGCGCGAGGGCGTGGGCGGCGGAACCAAGCCCCCTGACCTTTTGCCCAAACGGTGGCCGGCCAAGGGGCAGGGGGGCGTCCTTGGTGGACAGTTGGGGGCGGTTTTCGGGCTGCGCGGGTTCGAGGGCGAAGCAGCAGCGGCGGCGTGGCTCGGGCGAGCCGGGGAGGTCTTCCAGAAGTGCTCGATCAAGGAAAATGTCACGTTCCCGACGGAGGCTCAGGCGCGGGCGCTGCCGCGCCGGCGCGGCTGCACTCCTGGTCAGCGGGCCGTCGTGGAGGCGCAGGCGCCCAGGTGCGCGGCAGGCGAGATGGAGACGGCCATCCGCGCAGTGTTCCCGACGTTCGAGATACCGAAGCTGAGGCGCGCCGAGGGCGGCGCGCTCTCGCTGGAGGCGAGGAGGGTGCCGGCGAGACGGCCGACGAGACGTTCGAGGGGGCCGAGGTCTTTGAGGTGCTGGCGGCGGCCTGGAAGGAGATGCGAAAGGATGCCAATGAGGTTCGGAAGTCCAGGAATTTCCAAGAGGCGGACAAGTCGCAGATCGCCGTCCGCCGCGAGCTCGACGAGGCCAAGTGACATGCGTGCGGGGGCATGGGGCACTGGTCGAGGGGGTGTCCTATGAAGAACGGCAAGGGCCGTGGCAAGCGCGAGCCGCGGACGATCGGTGCCGGCGCAGCCTCCGTCGCGTTGGAAGGGCCGGGAGTTCGCGAGGCCAGTTTGGCCGCGATCCGTCGTTGGTTCCGAGGCGGGCGCGAGGCCGCGCGC